CTGACTTCAGCTCTCAGAAACCCAGCAACCCAGCATCATAACTCCAGGGCTTTGCACATGTGATTTCCTCACCTGACCCAAGAGGCTCTGTCAGCAAGGTTCCCTAGACACACAAGTCACCTGGCCACTCAACCCCGGAAGATGGGAGCTGAGTTCCACACAAAGAAAGCCATCCAAGGCAGTCCCTGGGGAGAGAAAAAGGTCTCCTGCGAAACCAGATGACCCTTTCCCCTCAGAGATTCCCCACCAGAACAGGGGCTCCAAAGGCCCTGGAAAATTGGCCCAAACAGCTGCAGACTGGCTTTCTTCAGACGTCACAGAGGCCAAGAGGACAGGAAGCCTGTCCCGAGTCTGCCCGCCTGAGACCCCTCCACGGTCCTTCACTGTCTGGGCATGGCTTCCCTACTTACCTCTGTGCCGTCTTCCTAGAGGCTGTGAGTGGGGGAAGCAGAACGTGGTGAGGAGGGCTTCCGCCTGACAGGCTCATCAATACAAGCTCATCCCCGCTCCACGCCAACTCTAACCACGGCTGACAGTCCCCAGCCTTCCCCGTGTCCCAGTTCAGAGCACCCTGCACGTGTGAACAAATTGAGTCTTCACCATAATCCTCTACCTTCATCATCCCACGTCTAAGGGGAAACTGAGTCACAGAGAATAACCCAGCTAGGCAGGGGGCAAGCCAGGGAGCCTGGCTCTAGAACCCAGGTTTTTTTAATCCTCCATGCCATCCTGCTCTCGGATGGAAAGGGGGGTTGAGCACAGTAGTCTAAGGCCTGAGGCAAGAAGGAGCCTCAATTCTGGCAGAGGACACCATCAACACGCCAACAAATAAGAAGTACAAGGTCGTGGACAAGGGCTACAGAAAATCTAGAGTAATCTTGAGGAACCTTCTGGAACGCTGCAAATGTTCAATTATCTTGACCCGGGTTGTGGTCCCACAGTGTACACACGTGTTCCCGTTCCTCAAACTGCACAGTGAAGATAGGATTAAAAACGCACCAGAAAATAGCAAACAAGCGGCAGACGGCGGGAGCCAGCTTTCTCACCGTGGGAGTGGTAGGTCACAGACAAACAAGGGGAGACGGCTGGAAGGATCCATGTGTAATGGATCAGACCTGGAGACAAGCGTACCAACTCATGTCTACCTGAATATAGACACAGGTGGATACAGGCAGAAATATTCACAGATATGTATATACAATGGGTTTGTATACACACGTTTCCTTGCTCTGTCAGCTGAGAGCACCTAGAAGCAAAGACACCTCAGTAGCAATGAGCACATCGAGCCCCCAGACCCTGGTTTCTAGTGCTATTCTCCAATAATAAGCAGGGCTCCTGGGGGAAATGGCTAATTCTAGGGTTGTGGAAGAAAATAGACAACGTGAGCCTAGAGCATCTTGTAGTGGCAGACAGTCAGAAAGTGTTCAATCAATGAATGAACCCCACAATGATGTCAGAGGGACGCAGGAGCCAAATGAAAGTGCTCCCAATGGCCAAAGCTAGGGCAATTTGAGCAATGAAATAGGTAGCACTAGACTATAACCTAAAGTTTAAAATAACTGAGTCCACGCTGATATAAATAAATAATTGAACAAATAAATGGGGGAGAAGAGACAAATCTCTCATACAGAAGAATTCCAAATAACTCATGTAGATACTCTGGCCCCAAGGAGGCGGAGCATAACTTCCCACTCGGTAAGGGTGGGCCAGGCACTGTGACTTTCTCTCAAAGAGGACAGCATGGGCGGGGGAGACTTGACAAGCACTACCTGTCAGGTGATCAAGGTCAACATCACCAGTGACAAATCACGTTGATAATACGTACCCTTGATACGATATGATGAAAACAGCACTTTACTTGTGGTCTTCCTCCCAAAAACCCATAATCCCAGTCTACCCCAGTCCAATCATGAGAAAAACATCAGAAAAATCCTAATTGAGGGGCATCCTACAAAATACCTGGCCAGTACTCCTCAACACCATCAAGGTCATCAAAAACAAGGAAAGTCTGAGAAATGGTCACAGCCAAGAGGAGTCTAAGGAGACACGAGAACTAAATGTCATGTGGTGTCCTAGATGGGATCCTGGAGCCACAGTGGAAAAACTAAGGACATCTGAACAAAGCATGGGCTTTAGTTGGTAACAACATACCAATATCAATTTATTAATTGTGACAAATGTACCACAGCATGTGTGTGTGCGTGTGCGCGCGCGCATCTGTGCATGTGCCTGCGAGTGGACTCAGGAAGGTGATATGGAAACACTGCACTATCTTCACAACTTATCTGGAAACCTAAAACTGCTCTAAAATTAGCAGTTTATTTTTAAAAATATAACAATATGACGGAATGGCTCCTTTGGACTGGGTGGCTGCCGAAGGCCTCTCGTTACGTCTGAGATGAATCTGAGAGAGGAGAAATAGGAAGCAGGACCCAGGGCAGCCTGTTCCCAGAAAAGGGCACAAGATACACGGGGCCCCCAGGAAAGGACGGGGGCAGGGGGGGGGGGCATGGGGGGGCGGGGGGGTGTGGAGGGGAGGAAGTCAAGTAGCTCAAGTGGAGTCAGGGAGAAATGGTCCGAGGTGAATAGAATGTCACCAAGTGAAGGAAGTTGACCAGGTCTGCCCCGGTAAGTAGGTCACAGTGACTGCAGGGGGCTGGCCCCGTGGCGTAGCAGTTAAGCGCGTGTGCTCTGCTGCTGGTGGCCCGGGTTTGGATCCCGGGCGCGCACTGATGTACCGCTTGTCAGGATGCTGTGGCGGCTTTCCATATAAAGTGGAGGAAGATGGGCATGGATGCTAGCCCAGGGCCAGTCTTCCTCAGCAAAAAGAGCAGGATTGGCATGGATTTTAGCTCAGGGCTGATATCTTCCTCACAAAAAAAAAAAAACACAGTGACTGCAGACTTGAGCCTAAGGGCCCTGGAAGGTCAGTGGAAGGAGTCAGCAAGGTGAGACGGCTCTGATATGTTTTTCAAGATCACCCTGGCTGCTGGAAGGAGAGAATTAGAGTGGGGCAGATGAGAAAGAGGGACAACGATGATCCCAGAGAGGTCACATTTCGGGCAGCACAGTCAGAGGAAAATGCCACCTGGTGAAGAGCTAGGAGCATCCAAGGGTCTGAAAGAAGATGAGAAGAGGCGTCCACACTTAAGGGGAAGAGAAGGGGGGTCTCCACATGCAGGAGGAGTCTGAGCAGAGCTGCCGCCCTGGTTTTTGATCCCTGACTTGGACCCCTTTGGAGACTCTCCACACAGGGCTACTGGGCATTCCAGGCACTGAGTACCCATGAAGGAAGTGCCTCCTTGGAGGCAGAGCCTGGGTTCAATCCCACCCTGCACTCACCACCTGTGAGACATTACCATTTGGAGCCTCAGTTTCCTCATCTGCAAAGTGGGAACCACCACCCACGTTATAGGAGATTTGAGGAAGTCAGTAAGAAAAAGCTCCCAGTACAAGCACTGCCTTCATAAAACTGTCGGTGAGTATTATTTTTACAAGAGAAGCCCAAGAGGGAAAACATCTAAGAATCCAACACCTCATTTTACAGACAAGAAAACAGAGGAACAGAGACAGAAAGTGCCCCAGCCCCCGCGGGAGAGTGAGCGGTGGAGCAGGAACAAAGCCCCCAGCTCCCAGCTCCCTGTCCCTGGGCTCTCTGTCCACATTCGATTCTGACCACAAGGGGGCTAGAACACGCTCCCTCATCAACAACGTCTCGAAACACCCCTTCCGGAAGGTTCTTTCCTTGCTCAAAACTCCCCGGTGGCTCTCCTCGCCATTACAAGTGCTGATGGCGCCTCAGGGGCTGGACGGGGCCTGTGATGAAGGGGGGGGCGGCAGCCAATGACTCAGCCCACCCTCCTCTCCCTGCTGCACCCCCCACGGGCCCCCACTGGGGCAGCCTGGTCTTCACCTGGGGGGCCTCCCCCTCCTCTCTGAACCATGCCAGGCCCCCACCCGGCAGGTCAGGCCCCAACAACAGCCAGCTCCCACTTCCCAGGTCACACTCTTGACTACCTGACCCCTACCTTTACCCAAAATGACACGCAGTCTTATAAAAATCCTCAAAAGGCTTTGTCGTCTCAGATGCCTTTAGAGAGCCCCTTTCTGTGACACTCTGGCTAGATCGGCATCTTTCTGGCAGAGTCTGTAATAACCCTCTCTCCAGCCCTTCCCCATGACCAAGACACAGGGCCCCGTGCTCAGAGCAGGCACTCAGTGATTGCGGAAGGAATAACAACACCTTGGTGCAACCATTAAGTTTGGAGATGAGCATTTTCATCAACCAAAGATATGAAAAACGCGCCAGCAGCTCATTTCTAAAAGCACCCTGAAGGCAAAAGTGGGGAACTGCTTCCTTTCAGGAAGCCTCGTAAAATCTCACACAGACCAAATGAAAAGTACCAATCCCACAATTAGAAGATTTTGAGGAGTCTAATACAGGATTCTGAATAAAAAGATAAACCGTGTTTGCTCTACTTTGCTAAATCTTGTCCTAAATGCAAATACTGGTCCCAGCATTCCAGAAAGTTTTACATTTCCTTTTTATCTCTAACCAAGACCATCGTTTTCCAAACAAGTGGGCCAACTTCATTCCTCTTCTGCGATTCCAAAGAGGCCTGTTATTAAAATCAGAAACCCAGCAGTAGCTGGAGACTGGTTGCTTCTAGAACATGCTTTATTTAAATTTTGATTCCTGAAAGTCACCCTGCAGAGAAGTAGCCAGCTACCTTCAGTCACAATAGGCACGGAAAATTTACTGTCGGGACAACCCCCCGACAAGTCGGTACACCTACACAGACACGCAAGGGAAAGAAAATCAAAAGGAGGAGATTTCTCCATAAATTAGGTTCATCCATCAAAGGTTCCACATCTCAAAATCGGAGGACTGCTGCAACGTCGGCTCACAGAGCCACACTCCACTGCACCACAACAAGAAGAAAAAGAAATTCCAATTTCCTTCTCTGCTCTGGAATAGATAATACAAGATTTTTACTCACCTTTGGAGCGAGTAGAGATATCCATGCCCTCAACCACCTCCTGTTCTGTTTTTATTTCCTCTTCAGCCAAGCTGAAACAGAGCAAATTACGTTCACGTTTAGGTAGACTGAGAACTTGCCCCATGGGGGCAGCAATTTAGAAGCTCTAACAACAAACCCACCTTTAAGACAATCCCCCGTCCTTATGCAGGGGTGGAGGGGAAGGAACCCACACCTGATTTCAAACCAAGTGTTAAGTAAGACTCCTAAAGGAGTTTTTTAAAACACTAGGTTGTTCTTTTTTTAAGTCAAATTACTATTCCAGTTGTCGTGCTATTGGGGGATACAAAAAAGCATTTTTTTAGACACAATTACAATCTACCCCCATGGGCCAACCAACAAAAACCCAGAGACAAGTAAGCAAGTTTCTCCTTGTTAACATGGGGTTCAGGATGGAGGTGGTCCGCAGGGTACCCAGAGTTCTGAATTCTGCAAGGCAAAGAGCACTTGTCAGACCTCCCCACTAAATCTTACAATTTCCCGAAGAGACAGGAACATGAAAAAATATATAGGCTAAATTACAAAGTCGAAAAATACGCCCAGGCTAGAAGCAAAAGGCCTGGGTCTCAAAACATTCAAACCACCAGCATTTATCCCAGGAATTAGGATTGGGGTCTCCACGCTCCCACCCTCTGGATGTTTCCCCTCTGTAGCAGGCATGGCTTAGAGAAAGCCTTCAGCACTCTTTTGAGCTGTGACTAATTATCCTCCACCACAAAAGTGGAATGAGGAAGGATTATTTAAAAGACAGGCTGAGAGCTGGGGGTTGGGGAGAGAAGTGGGGAAAGCAGGCCCCTTTGCTGGGAAGATCCACCAGAATCTTCTCTCCCTCTCTCTGCTGGAACTCCCATTGAATACAGTGCAGGCCATTTCGTATCTTCCCCACACACGCGCGCCAAGCCAAGCCAGTCCAGTACTGCTTTTATAGGTGCAAACTATATGAGATGCTGGAACTTTCAAAGCGTTTGGGCTGACCATCAAGTGATAAGAATCTGAGCAATTACTTTAGATGCAATTCCATCAGACTGTGGTTCAACAAGAAGAAATGGGTGCATCATCAATTGATACTGCTGGAATTTTCCATTTGGAAGACTCAAGGCCAGGACAGGAGGGAGGTTGGGTAAAAGAGAAAGGATTAGAATGTCCCTTCTGTGTTCCATGGTCTGGGATCGTGACAAGACAAAAGAGGAGTCTAAACAGGCCTGGAACCTCGGGTCAGATGGAGATGTGTTCCATGACTGCTGGGGAAAGAGGATTCAGGATGGGAACTAGATAGAAAGGAAAAGATGAGAGCTCAGAATTAAATTAGAAGAGCTTGGAGTCCTCAAACTTAACCAGTCTCAGTAGAAAGAAGAAAGGAAGGTGCTCTAGTTTTAAATCAGAATATTAACACATTTAGCTCTCTGATATTGAACCCCATTAACAATTTCATTTACACTGTATCTGTAAAGAAAGGCTGTGACACAAATCAGCAAAAAACAACTGACATGTCACAAATGGTTTTCATCAGAAGAAAGCAGCCTCTTAAATTTAAACATATCACTAACATGCAATAATACAACGGTGATTTGTGGAAGGTGATTTTAGCACTAATACTTTTTATCCAATTTAAGAGGCAAATAATCTCAACTCAGAAACACTCTGCCTGCAACATACACAGGCTGTCCAAATGGATACAGCTGATGGTTTCTTGCTTGGGGTGACTGGAAATAAATTTTAACAAAGAGCCCCATGCGGCACTCAGAGATGGGTGGATGTCAACTTCAAAAGAACAAATAGCAAACTTGATCTTTCTAGCAACTAGAATTCTGTTTCCCTCTCTAGCATGAAGTATGCGAAATCCTAAACTTCTTGAAACCGATCCCATATTTTGAGTGATGGAGAAAACGCTAATCTGTGATCCAACCAAAATGTACGGTGGTGAAAGAAACAATTATGCATAACAGAGCCCAACAAACCCACTTGAAGGATTTCTGCAGCGATGAAAACATTCAAAGGTGTATTGATCATGGAGGAGGGCTGTATTCAAGAGAACAATTATTTGGCTTGTAACAGCCTAGAGGAGCTGAATACTCCACGCAGGAATGCTGCTGAGAGGTTTAAAAAAATGCAAACTAGTTATGCGGTGGCTGTTTACTGCTGAGTTTAAGATAATCAATTCTGGAGCAGAAAAGAGGGGGGAAAAAAGTTAAGCTGTTTTATCTTTCCAAGTATTACAAGTGGGCACCATAATCACTTAACTTGAGCAATAGCACCACCAGCTTAAGCCAAGGATTTCAAGCACAACAATTTCAGAAAACCATCTTTTTCACAGATCAGCAAGCTATCCTTACAAAGGGAACTCGTGCACGCACATGCACACACACACACACACACAATAACTTGTATTTGACTAAAGGAAATTGCAGTGTCTATGCATTAAAAGGGGGGGGAAAAAAACTTCATTTACAAAAGCAAAGACCAGAATGCAAAATTAGTCATTTTGAATAGCCACATCTAAAGGGACTTCCTTTTTTCTACACCACTGATCTCGTTTTTTGGTTTAGTGTTAAGCACCAGTATGTTATGAGGGAAAAAACTACGAATATTACATCAAAAGTGGTGGTGAGAAAAGATTTGTACCTGTCTGAACGCCCCACAGATCTTGCTCAATTTAGGTTAAGAACTGTTCAGTCATTGGGAGGAAAAAACAGTCAAATAACAATGATTGTGAAAAGGAAAAGGCAGCTGCAACTGGAGAAAAGACTTTGAACTCCTGTCATTAACACATTAAAGTCTTAGAAAATACACAGCATCTTTCCTTCCGTATCTGCTAGCTTTCAGCAACCCGGATTATTTAAATCAAACACAATGGAACAACAAGCCCTTATTTCAAACTGACTACTTTTTTTTTTTTAGGTCTGTTGGGGTGGCTGGGGGCCCCCTAAAGAAAAGGGTAAAATTAGTTGAAAAACCAAACAACAGCCTCTCACCCCAAAAGGAAAACATACCATCAACTAGTTGTATACATTGTATGTTCCCACCACCACCACCTCTCGCACTCACATTTACCCTAAGTCACTTGCCTCTGGATTTCACAAACTGAGACATTTCAGGCAATTAAAGAAGAAATAACAGCGCCTGCAAACACAACCAAGACCATCCCATCCCGTCCCAGAAAGAATAAGATTTCTTCCCCACTGCCTGAGCAAGAAAACCTAGGCTTACTTCTTAACCTGCATGCACTGAAAAAGAGCAATTAAAAGTTGCAGAAGAACTGGTGCACCTCACCAGGATGTTTTAAGCCTTCTGATTATTAATTCTGAGGACTCAAGGCTGGTCCGTAATTCCCAGGAATCTCATCCCCTCATCACTTCCAAAAGAGAGAGAGAAAGAAAAGAGAAAACATCTAGTTTTGACAGAAAAATGCCTGGATACACAGTGCCCAGATATTTCTTTTCCCCAAGTGCCCTTACTCTTTGACTTTTAACCAAGAATATCTAACCCATCTAGAATATATAACCAGCATGCACAAGACTGGTTCTACAGAAGAGGATCATCGCTCGCACAGCAATTCAAGAATCATGCATCATTCGAAAGGACTTTTCCTTCAGCTTTTTACTTTCATTCAAAATACCAAACTGGTCCAGGCTGTAAGAAATATTTAATCCCCAAGATACAACATCTTCCTCTTCTAGAGCACAAAATAGTGAACATCAAAATAAAAAACCATGCTTCCCTAAATCTGCAATTAATTTTTTTAAAAAATCTGGGGGGGAAGGGAATGGTTAGCAGATCAGCTTTATATAAGCACTCACCTAAAACAGGCAGAGTCATCGGTAGCTAAGCTATTTATGCAGGATTCTTAAAATGGCGTCTGGCAACACTGCCTCATTCCTGTATTGAAGCTAAAATGGTAGCAGTTTGTTCCATAGCTGTAGCTCTGGTTGAAGCAGCCCTGCTAGTTTCAAAGCCACCTTCCTAAATATCAGACTAGGAAAAGCTCAACCAAAGGACACCAACAACCCAACGTTTAGAAGCTTAAAAAAAAATCTGCAATGACAGGGGGAGTTTGTGAAGTCACAGGTTCCTAAGGAAAACCCTTCCCTTTTAGATCCTGAGCCTTCGCCATGAGGCTCTGGGATGAGGCCCCCTTGCCCTCGAATTAGGTGGGTGGAAGGTTAGGAATTATGCAGCCCTGTGGCATAAACTGCAGGCAGACAGGTGTCTGTGCAAACATAAAAAATGTTAAAAGGGAGCATGCTGGCGGGGAGGCAGCCCATTCCCCCTTCTTGGTATATTAGAAACCAGCTTGGCAGCCAGACCAAAAAGGCGCTAGGTAAAAAGAAAGTGCTTCAAGACAGCAGGCATCTGAAAAGCCAAGCTGAAGGGCTACAGCCCAGTCTGAGGCCAAGGTAAAATAAAAAGGCTGTTTCTCAGCCTGAAAACGGCCACCAAACACCCAGCCAGTCCTAAGACAGTTAACATCAAGGAAAGACAATCCGAGTCTGCAGAGGAGAAACAACAGGAAAACATTCCCCTTAGCCAATGCACAGGATACTCACAAATTAGATTTTTGTCCACCCCCAACGAGCCCTGAAAATTAACAATGGGTTTGGCAAAACCGGCTTTCAGAGGCCAAGCGAACAGCCTCATAGTGGATCATGTAATTTACGGTTACAGGTCTGAGAATTGGCCTCAGAACTCTGCTGGTGCTGTGAGTGGGGAGTTTCAAGGTGACTGCTTTTTAGCTCCAGGGGAGACAGGAGGGCATGGTGCCCAAGGCTGTGCCAGGGCAAGGACAGGCGGCTGGCTGGCCCCTCGCCGGCCGGTAGGTAGGTAATCTTGATGAGGAGGGACAGCCTGGCAGCTAGCGAGCTGCAGTACTGAAATGGCTCCCGCCTGCTTGTTTATCTGTAAGGAGAGTGGGGAGAAGGGGGAAGGGCAGCCATGGCCTTAGCAACCTGAAGCCAAGGGTGAATCCTTACTTGTTTTTGCATTTAAGAGCAAGACAGGGCTTCTAAACAGATTCCCTCACTAATTCTCTGCTGCGGTGGCCAAGGCACTTTGCATGTATCTTTCTTTTCAGGGTCAACCAGAGGCAAAGCCAGATCTAGGGCTTCTCAGCTGACAAATGTTTGTTGCCTCTGCCACAGGAGAGAGAAGGGGAATGAAGGCAAAAAGAAACAAAGAGATCACACATCTGAAGTGGTTGGACTTGCAAAAACCTACCTTTGCCTTCAGGGTTTTCTGGGTTACTGTCACCCTACTTTTTAAAGAGTGACTCATTTCCCCCCTTTCCCATTTAAGACCTGAAGCACTTTCCCCCCTGTTCTCCCAGAGAAAGAAAAGGGGGAATGTTTTGTTTAAAAGAAAAAGGGTTACAAGAAAAAAAAAAAAAAGCTATTGTTTTCATCCCTAATTTATAATCCAAGAGGCCCCCTTGTTTCTTTCTTTCTGACTCAAATCTTTGAGCTGTTAATTACAAAAGTAACTGGACTCTGCTCCAACAGGCTAACTATGTTCATGGGCAGCAATTAGAAAAACTCTGTAGAAAGTTTACTGAGTGATTATATATAATTAATTCCTAGTTACAGACAGAACACTGAGCATTTTCTGGAGCTAATAAAAGCAGTTACTCCCCCTCCCCCACGTGAATGCCACTTAATTTCCCAAAGCAAAAAGTGAATCCATCCTGGAGGGTCTTGAAGGAAAAAAAGAGAGGAATCAAAAGCTCCAGTGTGTCTGTGTTTGTTCCTTGCAGCTGTGCATCCTCTTTGGGGACTGAGGACACAGAAGGAAAAAGGAAAACAACCCAACATTCTGGTCCTCCCTCTGCAATTTACAATCGTGGCAGAGAGAACATTCTACCTTGATGTAAAAAAGAAAGAGAGGAGAGGGGGAGAGGCCCTAGGAATGGAATGTAGGAGACTCTTGAGCTTGGCGGATTTGCTTCTCCTAAAAGGAACAGAGATGGTAGAAATTTCGAGAAGGCCGGTTCTCAGTCCGGCCACTGCAATTGTCAATCTGTAACCTTTCCTCCAAGTCTATTGGTTCAAAAGCTGGAGAGAGGAACCCCATTGGGCTGTTCTGTGAGCCAGCACTGCTATCCCTACCTAGTCCTGCTGCAATGCAGACATTTATTTTTCCCCCTTAGTGAAACTGGAAAAGAATGCTACTTTTGAAAGCAATTAACTTTTTACAGACTCATGCTTGGTGAGTACCAGAGGAAAAGTGGCTAGCTTGGTCGAGGGCTGGGAACTTGGTGGGGCTGCACACTTGAAAACAGATCTTGGCTTTGCAAACCTGTGGGAGCCATTTTAATGCAAGCTTTTAGAGGACAAATGCCTTGCCCTGAGGTTTCCTTCCAGCCCAACAAACACACCATTATGTAAACGTTGAAGGCATCAAACCAGGAGTCTTGTGATTAGATATTTCTTCTAGGGAGGCCACAAGAACTTCTACATGTAATTTCCATTTACAGCCAGGAGATAAGAACAAAGAAAATAGCTAAGTGTCTGAACTTACTTATACTTGTGTGGGGCAGTCACACTGTTCAGTTTTAAGTATATAACATCATTAACTGCTTGCATTTTTAGTCTAAGAAGCTGGCCTGACAGACTTTTCTTAACTTAGAATTTGGTACATTCCTCATTATTAAATGAGCTTTTTTCCTACTGGTGCTCAAAGGTAGGTAGCTGGACACTAATTTAAAAGAAAAAAAGATTATGGACTCCATAAAGTTGGCGTAACACAGCAACTGAACATATTTCCAGCATTTACATTCATGCTGGATTGGTCTCCAGGCTGGAAATTTATGTAGTGAACGTCTCGAGAAATTCTGAAGCTAACGCTAAAGGAGAGTCTAGTTTTTTCACTCTTCAATTCTAACTACAGCATTAAGAGATCAGGGGAAATGTAAAAAGTGAGAAATAAATCATAAGTAAAGGCAAGCGTGCATACAAATGTGTGGGTCAGGCTTGGAAAAAGGACCAAGTTTGGTGGTAAATGGGATTTTGCACTACATGTAAGTATCCTAAAACGTGAAGTACTGACACCACCCCCACACACATACCACCTCCACCACCAGCTCCTGCCCCACCAATGTCTAAGGCTCTGTGACTCTAAGAACAAGCACTTTCGTCACATTTCACAAGCAGATCACCTACCCAGAGTTCTAATATCCAAACAAACCCAATTAAAGGTCTCCAGTCAAGTCACAATGAACTGAACATTTCTCCCCTGTCTGAGGGTAAACAGGAAGTGTAATCTTCAATCCTAGCTGCAGGTTATCAGGAAAAATAGTGGATTCAAACAGTCACCTAAAATCAAGACACTATTAAAAAGCCCTTATTTGGTTCCTGCTAATAAAAAGCCCCCAACTGCTGTAGAGAAGACCCCCTGTTACAAACAGACCCCAAATGTTCGCCAAATTCTTTATACATGGTCACAGAGGAAATGGATTGCTCTACTTACCCAACAAATGTTCAAGCAACCGTCTCATTTTTCCACAGTTAAGAAGAGAGAACAGGCTGGCAGATTTGGGACTTGATCAAAAAGGAAATTTTTTTAAACAGTTACATGGGATTATTAAAAACACACACACACAACAACACAACCCAACAACTGAATATGGAATGCTGTCATGAGCCACAGACATGATTTTATTTCCTCTGCACTCTATCACACAGGAGGACAGAGGATGATACAATGTAAAAAAGGGAAAGGAAAATGAAAACAAGGATAAAAGATACATTAGTTCATTGAAAATCATGCAAGAATAGAAAGCTAAGGGATTCAAAAAGAGTCCTCACAGATTTATTGCAGGATGTTGTCCAATATCTCTCCCCCCTACCCCCCCCCACCCCAGCCCTTCTCCAAAAACTTCCTCCAAAGCCTAGAAAACACTTTCAGAAACATTTGCTGGCTGTAGGCTGGCTTGCAGAAGAACACTCTGTATCAACAGAAGTCAGGAAAAAAGGCTGAACAATGTAGTTTCAAGTGAAGAAACCCTGTAGGGAGAGAGAAGACCATGTAGAGACACCACCACCCACCTAGGCCCCAGGAGCTAGAATCTCTCCTTAGCACTGCTCTGCTGCTGAGGGCTTGGTTCTTTTTAAAACACAGGTCCTCTCTTGTCAGAACTGAGTCCAGCCTTCCCAGAACCTCTTTGGAGAGGTAAACTTGCCTGCTTTGCTGTCTGCCATGAGCTCTCCTTGGACAGGAGCCTGCCTGCTTACCTTCCATTTCTTCCCCCAGCAGGCATGTGACACAAGAGAAGACAATAGTGCAGGGGGGGAAACTGCTCAGAGAGAGAGAGAGAAAGAGAGAGGAGGGGAAAAAAAAAAAAAAAAAAACTTCTTTTTTGGCATACCAGGATCTAGCTTCAAATTATTCCAGAAACACCATGTAGTGGTGGAAGAAAAGGTGTGCCAGGCCCTTGCCAGTTTGCAAAATCAAGCTATGGCTAATGGCTCCTTAGCCATGTGACCCAAGAAAGCAAAAAAATTCTCTCTAAACAGTTCCAAGTTAACCTAAGTGCTGTGGGGGTGAGTGTGGCACGGCCAGCCACAGAGAAATCACACTGCTCGCCCACAATTCGGATGTCTCAGAGGGAGGGGGAGAAAAGATGGTTAAAAAGTCGAGCTTACCTCTGTGGATGCATTGTTAACACTGTGTAATGTCAATACTTATAAAACATGGAGGACAGGCTCCTAGTTCTCACAGAAAAAGGGTTTGGCACTTCGGCTTGATGATCTGGCCGCCTAATAAAAGCTCATCCCCGATTGGCTGCCCCGGCAAATCGGAGTGTAAGGCGGCCCCGGATTGGCTGAAACACTTCCTGAGCGATTATCTTTGTGAGGCTCTGGTGAGCAAGAGCCATCCTGTGCATAGAAAAAGACAGGCTAAGCTAGGCCTTTTGCAGCAAGAAAAACTTGGGAAAGGGGCCCACAGACGCACTTCTCACACACCCTGGCTAGATTTCCCGGCACGGGCAAACCAGGGCAGCCAGCCTGACCTGCTCCAGCAAAGCCTGAAGCCCAGAGGCCACTGGGAAGACAGTTTTTGGGGTGAGCTGAAAGGGCTCACCCTCACCTGCCCCCTCTGACACGGCTCTTTGCTAGGAGGAAGGCTGGCCCTTTTCTAGAAGGATCCAGCAGAATGGTTCCACCCCCCCGGGGGGGAAGTGCAGCTGAGGAGGGGGGAGCCCCAGGAAGACAGCCAAGGGGACAAGAGAAAGGGGCTTGAGGCAGGCCGCTGAGGAGCTGGGGGAAAACAGCCAGGACAGGGGAGCCCCAAGAAATCGCTAAAGAGCAGCGGGGCTTTTCAGGGGACGGAGGAGCCAGGCTGCTGCGGGGAGGAGGGGAGCAGAGTGGTCAAGATTGCATAGTCATTGTCAAAATGCCTCCTGGAAATGCAGGCCAGAGAGCCATCTGCCGGGCCCAGGAGCTAACCTCTCGCCCCTCTCTCCCTCAGTACTCAAGAGGAAAACCATACTGGGTTCCTGCCTCCCTGCCAGGATGCCACGGGGCCCCCCTCTCCGTCCTTACCCTAAGAAAAGCCAAAGGCGCTCCTAGCAGGCCACATGCCTAGATCTACAAACTTCCCTTCCCCTCCCGCCCCCTCCCCCACCTCTGAGGCCTGCTAAACCTGTCAGTTACACAAAAATCTGACTTCCGTATTAGTCTGCAAGGCCTGCAGCTTCCTGCCTATTAACCCTCTCTCGGACTCTGGGCCTGGCTGGGAAAAACTAGGCCCTGCGATCGCAGCAAAGGCCTGTGGAAAAATACCAGCTGCAGCTCTCCCGGCAGATGCAGAGAGAGAGAGAGAGAGGGAGCTGCTGTCTCTCGTCTTTGCTTCCCAAGGAGGCGTGTACCTTCTGAATCCAGGCCACAGGCAGTGCCTCTCCGTCTGAGAAGCCATTTAAATCCAGAGGGAGAAAGAAAGATGTCAAACTCAGCGAGGGAACAAGAACCCCCATTATTAGTCAGGCCTCCACCCACTGCTCGGCCCTTCCTGTCACAATCATCCCTGTATGCGTGTTCTTGGGGAACTGGGCCCTCAGTGGGCAGACAAATCCCAGGAGCTTTATAAGGATTCTGGCTTAAATTTATTTCCACAGAGAGCGGCTTCTTTTCGTCCCCGAAGGCAGATGGAACAGCTATTTCACACACAGCCCTACACTTGGCAGCCCCACCCCCACCCCCATCTCTGGCTCTGCTCCCCAGTCAAATATTAACTAGTTTTTCAGAGCTGCTTATAATGCCACCCATTTCTATAGTATTAGGAGGTCTTTGCCTGTTTCCTCCCTGAAGCTGCCTTTGTAGTTGGTCTGCACTCTGAGAAAGACAAGGCAAATCTGAAAGGCTCTTAAAATGTCCATGCTTGCTCTTTTCTTCCTTTTTTTTTTTTTTTTTTAAGACAAGGTGCTTCATTAAGATTTTTTTAAAACAGCAAGCTGGAACAACAGAAGTTAAATAAACATCATTCTTTAGAGGCTGGAGAAAGCTTCCAGAGGAGACACAGCCATATGCCAGGAGGTAAAGCAATGGCCCAATAAAGTCTCCCCTCTCCTGAAATTAGGACTCGTGGGCTCTCTTGTCCCACACCATTCGTTCCCACAAAGAAAACGCAGAGCTGATGGCCCGCTCTCCCTGCCCCCGCCCCCCCACGTGGACAACAGATGCCCGCCGCATGTACATAAATTCTTCCTGGCTGGGAATCTTATATCAAACAGGAACAGCCAGGAAACCAAACACACTGTACCGCAGGGGCAGGGCCCAGGCTTTATAAAAAGGGACGGGGTTTTGTTGCTGCCGTTGTTATATTTTAGGCTGAAGAGGCCAAGATGCAGGGAGGGACACCTCCACCGCCACCCAGCCTGACAAAGGTCCAGGACTCAGGACAACAGACATGGGCCCCACCAGAAGGCAGGGACCTCCTTTTCCTGGGAGTGGAAGGGGGTGCAGGGAGACCAAATGGGGGACAAGAGGCAGAGGCCAGAGTTAATCAGACCCTGCTCCTCCTCCTTGCTGTGGGCAGCAGCCCTCCACCGTCATGCCAGCGGGAATGCCGTTTGTCTGTGGTGGCTGCTTTTGGGGGAACAAACAGGACTGCGAGTCAGTGGCAGATCTCGTGTGCAACTCACTTCACGACCCAGTAATGAGGAAATGAAATACGCCGCCGGTGCGCGTGGTGGATTTTAACCCGGGATTAAAGCTTGTTGCATAAGCAGCTGCATCCTCCCCCTTCCTCCCTCCCTCTCTCTGATCACTTGAAATGCTTTCTGGGGCAAAGAGCAGGAAGCTGCCGGCTTCTTCTGGCAGCTCAGCTCTGTGAGAGGAATGCTGTTGGCATTCGCGTAGGTCTGAGGTTATCTGGAAAACAGCAATTCGGCTGGGGACAGAGACAAAGGTATGGTGGCAGATGGAATCCTGGGAGGGACACGGATTGAAAAAGAAGCCCAGGGCAGGCCTACTAAGGGCGAGTCCTGGGCTTGATGGAATGTGGCTGATAAGCGAGAAATAAAGAAGGCAAATGTTCCTGGCCTCCATCTAGAGATCGTTCAGTGGCCCTTCTCAAACCCCCCCCCCGCCTTGCACAGAGTGGTCCCAGCAGCTACTGCATGCTCGCCCTGGGCCAGGCACTGTGCTAAATCAGCACTTCACACAGACTGACTCCGTGAGGGAGGGAGCATTGTTAGAGACCTGGAACTAAGCCCAGAGAGATGAAGTGAGCTGCCCAAGGTCACACAGCTGGCAAGTGCCAGAGACCAGACTTCCAACCCAGTTATGATTCCACGTCCCTAAACCTTATACCTTCACCTGTCTCTAAAGAAAAAAAGAAAAAAACACAAAAGAGAAGCCGAACCAAACAGAGCAGAAACAAGGCTAAAATCTACCAACAGCAACTGCATGATCTGTGTTTTCTTTTAGGAGGTCAACTCCTTCGAGAATGAGCTTCAAGTACTGAAGGAGGGAGCTGGGAGACCTTTAGATCAGACTCATTCGAAGGCCCAGAAAAAGCTCCTCTCTCCCTACAAACCTCCAGCAAGATGTCAAGGGGAATACTTTGCCATCTCTAAAATCAGGCTCTTCTATTCCTTGAAATCGGTGGTTCTCAACCAGGGATGGTTTTGCCCCCCAGGGGATATGTGGCAATGTCTGGAGACTTTTGGGTGGTCACAACTTGGGGGGAGAGGAGCTAATGGCATCTAGTGGGTGGAGACCAGGGATGCTGCTAGAGCACAGGACAGCCCCACAAGGAATTATGTGATCCAAAACGTCCACAGCGCCAAGGTGGAGAAACCTTGGCTTAAATGAAATGGAAGGAAAAAACCCAACCATTGTGGCCTTGGATAGAAAAGGCAGCACAGGCCTAAACAAGCAGGTTCCGTGGTGATCTTAATAAGCAATGAACTAATAAAAATAGATTAAAACGTGTGTCTCTTAATATTCCCGGGAGACAGAGAGAATCGGGGGACAGAAGCAGGCTGGAGGAAGCCAGGCAGAACGTCTCGGTGATAAAGCTGGCCTCAAAGGAGAGGAAGGGCTGACCCCGCTCCCTTCCCCAGGCACCTTACTAGCCGGGGCCTGGCCTCCCCGACATGGCTCTCCACTCGGCCTGGCCTGCAGCCAGCGAGCAGCAGGAGGAACAGCCTCGGCAAGCTGCATCCCGAGATAGCCTGTTCGGCTGACTATGAAAATAAGCACGCTTGGAGTTATCTGCCTCAACCGAGCAGCAGGCCTCTCTGTCCGTTATGAGAAACGGCCGGGATTCGGGCAGGGAAGTGTTTTAAATATCTTGTTTTGTTTTGTTCCTTTTTGGCCAATTGGAACAGAGGCCAACTTCGGGCATGGTGACAGAAGGGCTCACCTTCAGAGCACGGAGCTGACCGAGTCATGTTACAGCCACAAAGAGGCAGTTAGGACTTGTCCCTACCTCGGAGAAGAGGTGTCCTCTGGAAGGTCTTTTCTTTTTTTCACTTCTTTCTAGGAGCGACTGGCAGAGTTAGGCAAATGGAGGGAGGAGAGAAGGGCACGTGGAAAGAGCAGGGGGGTGGTGCATGACCATCAGGCAGATGGCCGCAGGGCGGGTGGGGAGGGATGGACAGGATGCAGGAACAAAATGAACACCACAAGGAAGAAGATTTGGGACTTCCCCTTACCTGCTCTTTTTACTTCCTAGCAAAGACCGTTATGGAAAGAACACGTTTATTTGCTCAGTTTGTTTCTCTCCCACTAGACCAGTGCAGGGTCTGGAGACATTTTGGGTTGTCGCATCTAGGAGGGGGAGGCTACCGGCATCTAAAGGTTAAGAGACCAGGATGCTGCTAAACACCCTACAAGGCACAGGACAGCCCCCACAACAGAAAACCAGCCAGGCCCAAGTGTCACTAGTTCCAGAGGCTGAGAAACTCTGCACTAGACAGAGCTTACACGAGGCAAAGTCGTTGTCTGAGTCCTTCACCATTGTGCCCTCAGGGTCTACACCCTGCTCCACGTGTATTAGAGCTCATCTCCCACCTGGATGGTTGCAGTAGTCGCCCACCGGAGCCCCCCTCCTTCTGCCCTTGCAGGCGCTTGCCGGCGGGGAGCGGGGGACTGGACTGCAAAGAAAACTCAGGATTCACACACACACACAGAGGCAGCCAGTAAGCCTTTTAAAACAAGTCAGATCTTGTCCCTCCTCTGCTCAAAATCCATCAGTAGCTCCCATCTCACTCAGTCAAAGCCCCAGTGCTAAAAATGGCCCCCTGCCTCCCTCCAGGATCAGTGCCCCCTCCTGATCTCTGACTTCATCCGTCTCCTTCCCAGCCCCCACAGCTCACTCCGCTCCAGCCACTCGGATGGTCCATCTGTTCTTCGCACCGCCTAACCCGTTCTCTCCCTCCTCCTGGCCTTTACACTCCATCTTCCGCTCAGCCCATCTCCCCACTTCCCCAAACCACCTAAGGCAAGCCAGTTCCCTCCTCTGGCCTCGGTGTGTCTGCATCTTCCTTCCTGCCTCACGCCTGCTGCAGAAAGCAGGATTCCCCAGCCCAACACTCCCAGCATCCCCTCACCCTGCTCCCTCTGTCACATGCCTTCCTATCTGAGTCCCTTAGCCTTTTTCCTTTCTTCCCCACATCAAGAGGCAGAACCCCGCAGGAGTTGAGTGTGTGGCTGTTGGCAACAGACCTTCTGGGTGTCAATCCAGCACCCCCAGTTGCCGGCTGAGCAGTCCTGCTTGAGATGCGAAATCCTCCGTGCCTTGATTTCCTCATCTGTACAATGGGAGCAATCAGAATACCTACCTGGAAACATTCCAGGGCTCAGTTCTCCAAAGGACTTGTAACAACACAACACACAGTCCATGCTCATTTTGTCGCTGTTACTATTTCGCTCTCCACTTACTCTTGAAAAGGTATTTTCTGGATGCTTCCAACCCAGTTTTCTTCCTTCTTTCCCCATCAAACTTTCCAAAGGAAGATAATGATAAATTCTGATTCCAAGCACGGTGTCAGGTACTATTCTAAGCAATGTACATGAACTAACCTATTTACCCTTACAACCCTATGAGGTGTGCACCATTAGAATCACCAACCCCTTGGGCGGGCCCGGTGGCGCA